GCTTGTAACAGAGCCAGAGAAAGGGGAAGACCCAGGTACAGAGACTGGGAGGGTAAAATGTGGAGGTGGATAAAGGGAAGGAGGGGTTAAAGGAGATTTATTGGACCTCTGAGAAGTAGAGGGACGATTGGGAGGAGGTGTCGTATGAGGACTTGTCAATACCGGGGTTTGTGAGGGAGAACACGAAGAAGTGAGGATAGACTGAGGTGTTGAAGTAGGGACGTCTGAGCCCAAGACAGCAAAAGAATTAGATACAGGAGTGACTATGGGACTGGCAACCGCAGAGGAGGCTGCAGAAGATGGGACCCCAGAAGTGGGGGGACGTTTTGATACACGAGAATAAGAAACACGGGGTAGTCTCCCTTGGAGGCGGAGATGAGAAACTGCCATAGCATAAGGGAGACCTGCCTCTTTGAGGCAACGAATTTCCCGCTCATTTAAGTAGACCTGGCAACGGCGAGAGTACGAAGGGTGAGCCTCATGACAATTAAGGCAAGAGGGAGTTCAACTGCAAGACGTATTAGAATGGTCACCGGCACTACAGACTGGGCATTCGGCTATACATCTGCAATATTTTGCTGGGTGGCCAAATCGCCAGCAATTCCTACACTGTTGCGGTGTAGGGATCACCTTCCGAACTTGTAACTGATGTCCTGCTACATAAACAGAGGATGGGAGTTCACAGCTGTCAAAAGTTAAACGAGCCACATTGCATGGGTATCATCTTCGCCCGAGGGCAGGAAGAACATAAGTGTCTACCTTGAGAATTGGGAGATCTTGGAGTTCCAATTGTTCAAGAACGTCATTGCCACATGTCTGGAAATTCTGTTGGACTATGGTATGGGGCAGAATAACAGTACCACTACAAGAATTGAGGGAATGATGTTTTTCGATAGTGATAGGAATAGTATCGATATGTGAAAGAAGAGAAAGATCATGAGCTTGGGTAGAATTCTGGAATGTGATGATACGCGTACCACTCTTAAGAGCATGAAAGGAAATATCTCCACCAACGTGGCGTAGGAGTGCTTTGCCAATACTATGGTCAGAAAGATAGGCAGTAGAAGAAGTCGGTCTTAAAGTAAAGAATTTAGTCCATTGTGTGGACCGAAACGGAGTGTGGAGAGGGAGTGCATGACGTGTCGGCCTTTGCCGAGTAGAATGGGAAGGTATCGAAGTAACATCATCAGGAGATTGTCGTTGGTGTTTAGAAGTGGGACCAGAGTCGGTCCGACGTGGGACAGGCTGGTGATTCGAAAATCGTTGCACCATAGAGGGAGAGGCCGGAAGCATAGTCAAAGGAGAGCAGAGGTCAGACAAATCGAAGGAGTCAGTCGAAACCCCGGCACCTAAAGCGGGTGACGAAACAGCACCAGCAAGAGGTACAGGGGCCTTAGGAATGTCCGAAGAGTGACCAAAAGATGAGGTGAGGTCAGAACGGGGTGCAGTAACAATAAGGGGCCTGGGGGTAGCGGGGTCATGGATCGGGTACTCCATGGTTAGGTTACTTCTTTCTTTTTGTTTTTAACCCTTTGACTGTTTCAGGCCCCTCTCTGAAACTGTCATTCTATGTCGCCAAATATTCGAAAAAAAAAAAATATTATTTTTTCTTATGAAAATGTTAAGATTATTTTTCTGAGTGTTTTGGTCAAAAAAAAATTTTTGCCATCAGTACTTACCGAGATATAGAGTTGTGAAGTTTGCAGAAAATGAGCCACGTATGGCAACAGCAGCGACTGCCGCTCACCAGGTAAACTTTAGTTTACTTGTATTTGAAGGTTTGTTGTTTTATTCACTATTTTATTTTTTCACATAACTTATGTGGCCTATGAGACCAAAGTAAGGTGCAATGTACACATATACACTCGTTGTATACAACACAATAAGCACACAAACATAATTATCAATATATTGTTTACAAAACTTGTTTATAAAAACAATTACAAAAATTTTTTTATTACTATTGTTCTATAATATATATACCAATATATAGTCACTGGACATATTCCTAGAAGTTCTGCAGCTTGTGGAACTCTCTGAAACATGGTGTCATACACAATGGTGTTTTACACTCTCACACATAAAACATGGTGTCATACACAATGGTGTTTTACACTCTCACACATAAAACATGGTGTTATACACAGTGGTGTTTTACACTCTCACACATAAAACCAGTGTGTGTGCATTTTTGTGGACTTTTTTTTTTTATGTGCAAAGACAAAACACCTTCTCTGAGCAGTTTTCTGCAAAGTATTAGCAGGCAGTTGTGTTATGTAGTTATCCTAGGTAAATGGTCGTGTGTCATCATTCCTTCCATCCTACTTTCCTGATGACACAGTCTTGTGGCTCTCTGAGACAGAGAGCTAGATGGAGCTTGACAGACAGACAAATAGACAGACAGAAATGTTTGTGTACCAGCAAAAACAAAGGGAGGGCGATGTTCATCTAATCTTTTCTTATCAGCTCCACCCTCATTTACGCTCATCAAAGTCAGCTCTTATCAGATGTTATTTCCCCTTATCTTGTCACTGTCATGGGGTGGACTTTTTTTTTTCCTTGCTTCAATGGAACAATATTATTACATCTTCTTCTTCCTCCTCCTCCTCCTCCTCCTCCTCTTCCTCTTCCTCCTCCTCTTCCTCTTCCTCCTCCTCTTCCTCTTCCTCCTCCTCCTCCTCCTCTTCCTCCCCTCCTCCTCATCCTCCTCCTCCTCCTCTCCTCCCCTCCTCCTCCTCTCTTCTTCCTCCTCCTCCTCCATTGCTTTTGGTCTCAAACTCCTCCAAATCATGAATTTGATCTTCACTGACACTTCCATCTGTGTTAGAGCATCACTTGGGAAGAGAAGAGTCCCAGATTTGCTGGGGAATCACATATTTCTTACCGCTAGACATGCTGAAAAAGGACAACTGAAATGGCATTCCCACAATGCACCACTGGCTCCCCGATTTTTTTATATGGTGCACACTGACCATGGAGACCCATTCTCTCACATGTGGGCCTACCAGCTTTCTCCTGCTTGATTTGAAGCCGCTAGAATTTATGTGTATAAATACGTCAGAAACAGTGGCGCATAAGACGTATATATACGGCGTAAACAGTCAAAGGGTTAAGAAAAAAAAAGAAAGAAGAAAATAAGAATAAAAAAAGGGGGGACCGAGGAGAGATAGGTCCTAGGAGGAATGAAAGGGCCAGAAATCTCCCTCCGCGCCCAAGAGAACCTCAGCACTGCAAGTAGCACAGATGCAGCATGGAACCCATGCCATACCCTACCCTTCATGCCAGTAAACCAGCAATCCGGGATAGCAACCTCACATCTGCCGAGCTACCACGGTGGACAAAAGAGAGAGCGGCCAGATATCCACCACAAAGCATACCTCCTTCAGCCACCACCCCCGGAATCTGAAAGGTGGCTTCCAGAGAAACACTCGTCGCCCAAAAGACACCCAAAGCCACCCTCCGGGATACCGGAGAGGGATCGGGACATCCCCAGGCGATCCAGATTCCACAGCAAACTACGCCACCACCAAGAACCTCAACGGAATGGGATGGACCCCGGTACCCTTTCCCATACCTAGGAACTAGCGCGCCTGTGGGAAAAATCCCAAAGGCCAAAAAAGGAAGGGCAAAAGGGAGGGGTGGGGAGGAGGAGAAGGAAAGGAAAAAGAGGAGGATCGGATAGGGAAGGGGGGATTCGGGGGTAATTAGGTTCGGTCTGAGGAAGGAGACCAACAGGTCTAATTCCTCAGACCAAGAGCCTCTTCACCACGCCAAGGAGCCCCCTTGAAGAGGTGGTAATCGTAAGCATATGCCAAGGTTCCACGCTGGCACTCGCAGAGGTGAGGTGCAGGCTTTTGTTGCCAATGACATCATGGCATTTCGGTGGCATGACAAACGTGATGTCACATTCTTGACATCAGTTCACCGAAATGAAATGGCAGACACAATAGAGAGACCAATGAACCCATTCTAAAACCTGCAGCTGTCATGGACTACAACCTCGATATGTGCTTAGTGGATAAATGTGACATGCAGATTGGGTTTGCTGACTGTGTACGCAAGAGTTATAAGTAGTATATAAAACTTTTTTTCCATCTTCTTGATATTTCCATGCTACATGCTTATAACATATACAAGTTGAGGACCAACAACAAACCAAAATATGGTGAATTTTGTTTGTCAGTCATCAGACAAATAATCGTCAAGTACCAAGGAGCAACACCTGCAATAGACCAGTGCCCACAAAATTACCAATACATGCCATCTCGTTTGAGGCCTGGTGATCACTACCCCATACAACTACCTCCTACTGCTTTCAAGAAAAGTGCTCAGAAGAGGTGTTTTGTATGTGGACATGCCATAAAATGCCCACAAACACGCAGACACTCGTTTGATGTGTGAGGAGTGTCAAGTACCACTCTGCATATACCCATGTTTCCAAGAGTTCCACAAGCTGCAGCAGTTCTAGGAAAGTGTTCAGTGACTGTACATATGTATATATATTATGGAACAATAGTAATAAACAATGTTTTGTGTTGTTTGTTTGTGTAAACAAGTTTTATACACAATCTAATAGTGATAATGTTTGTTCAGTTACTGTGTTGTAAACAATCAGTGTATATTTGAACAATGCACCTTACTTTGGTCTCACAGGCCACATAAGTTACTTAGAAGAGAAAAATATTGGAAAATACAAGAAACCTTTGAATTGGAGTAAATAAAAGAATACCAGGTGGGCGGCATTCGCCGCTGTTGCCATACGCTGCTCATTTTCTGCCAACTTTGCGCCTCTATATCTCGGTAAGTACTGATGGCAAAAATTTTTTTTAGGCTTAAAACACTTAGTAAAATAATCCTAACATTGTGGTAAGAATTTTTTTTTTTTTCAAATATTTTGCGACACAGAATGACAGTTTCAGAAAGGGGCCTGCAACAGTCAAAGGATTAATATTGTCCCCAAGATGCAACCCACACCAGTCAGCTAACACCCAGGTACCTACTTGCTGCTAGGTGAAGAGAGACAGCAGATGCCTTACGGAAACACACCCAATATTTCCACTCGTACTGGGGATTGAACCACGGACCTCAATGTGTAAGCTGAGTGTGCTAGCAACTGATCTACAGATCATCTGCTTACCATATCAGATACCCACTGAAATGAATGATAAGATTTAACAACAAGAAACTTGGCACCAAAAGAAATACAGTGGAATCTTGGCTTACGAATGCCCCACCATGCGAATTTTTCAGGATACAAACAGTTGTTCAGTCGCTTTTTTGCTTCTGGATACGAACGAAATTTCAGGATGCGAACTTCCCCCTCAAGGGAGGTTTCTTAAATAAATACCATAAATTAAATATTTATTTCTTTGCAAAGGTTATGATGTGTGTTTACACATCATAGTATGAGTGGAGCAAAGAAAGCCACTATCATGCCGAGGCATTTCAGGCAGACTTAACCTAATACTAATACACTAGTAAGTCTAGACAGGTGAAAAGTGTACTAGTAGTGGTTACCAATGTTTTACTGATGGTGGCACCAACTACTGGCAGCCTTTTGAAGTTTCTAATTACTGTTATTATTATATTGAATTATTATTATTATTGTTATAATAATTATTAGTAGTAGTATGTACGTGGTGATGGGCTCTTGATCTAGGGAGTTGGATCTGTGCTCCAGTTCCCTAAATTAATAATAATAATAATAATTATAATAATACGGACATACTAAGAACAATAATAATAATTATAACAGGAGGTTTTGTGTGCGAGGGGCTTGGACTTCCAGCAGGCATGCGTGAGCGTGTTTGATAGGAGTGAATGGAGACAAATGGTTTTTAATACTTGACTTGCTGTTGGAGTGTGAGCAAAGTAACATTTATGAAGGGATTCAGGGAAACCGGCAAGCCGGACTTGAGTCCTGGAGATGGGAAGTACAGTGCCTGCACTCTGAAGGAGGGGTGTTAATGTTGCAGTTTAAAAACTGTAGTGTAAAGCACCCTTCTGGCAAGACAGTGATGGAGTGAATGATGGTGAAAGTTTTTCTTTTTTGGGCCACCCTGCCTTGGTGGGAATCCGCCAGTGTGTTAAAAAAAAAAATAATAATACAACAGTAATAATAATAATAATATGTTGTCATTTTTAGACATTTTTCATAATTTTTTTTTTCATATTTTTGTGCCAAATGCTTCAAAATACAAATTGGTAACCCTCTGGGTGGCTATATGTACTGCGAGACCACGGCTATCTCAGTGCCAACCAAGGGTCAAAAGGAAGAGGAGGTGTGCCGCTCTGAGTGACCGCAGCAGACCCTTGGGATGCATAATTTCGTCTTATATTGTATAAATTTCTTACATAATGCTTCTCCCAAAGAGACAGTATTCGCGTACAATCAGCAAGAAGCTCAGGAAGCGATTAGAAACTATGAAAAAAACCTAGAGAAACGAAGAAGGCAGCTGGCCGCCGCCACCACCACCACCACCACCACTGTGGTCACAGTGATTATGTCTTCACCTATACAGTGGACCCCCGCCGTTCGGCGGCTGTGACTTTCGTGAAATCCGATTTTCGGAAACTTTGTTTGCCAAAATTTAGCTTCACGATTCGTGATTAGCCTCATGATTCGGCGACTGTCCGGTACATGTCCACCGTTAGCGTGCACACAAAGCCAGTCTCCTGCACCATTCACACTCAGTGTGCCATTGTTTACCAGTGAGTGACCATCACCCCACGGGTTCATATGATACATTTCATAATAATCCATTTTTTTTTTGTGCTTGCAACTGCTAAATAAGCCACCATGGGCCCAAAGAAAGCTCCTAGTGCCAGCCTTTTGCTAAAGAATAAAAGAAACACAATAGAATTCAAGAAAAAACTCGTAGCAAAGTGGAGGAAGAAGAGAGAGGGAAGAATGTGCCTTCTGCAGTGATTCAGTGATACGTACGATACTAACATAGCAAGTATCGATAAAGGCTATAGTGCCAGCCAGTAATAAAGTGTAGAATTAATAGTGCAACAAGTAAGTGAAGCAATTAAGCGATAGAAAAATGACATGAAAGTAACTCTCCAATGTTGCTGGATGTGTATAGGGCCACTAAACATGCGCCGCCCTGCTATCTTCCACCACCCTAAACCTATGCCAGCATCTCCTTCATCAAACTAATTAAACTAACATCTCCTCCAAGGTAAGTGCAAATATTTCTTATTCATAAATTAAAATGTAAATATTTCTTATTTATAAATTACATACAAAGTTTCAGTGTGAATAGTGGTGGTGGGTTCTACTGCCACCACCACCACCACTATGTACGGCTTCTCTCAGTGGCCCTTATAAACCCAACACCACCACCACTTACTCCTCTCATACATTATGACATATTTTATTCATTCTAGAATAATATATCATGTTTCTATGTTATTAATATTGCTTATTATGTCCTATTACATGCATTGTTATATATAAATAAGCCATAGAGATGATATTAGCGTCATATTGAACCATAATAAACTCGTCTTCCTATCCCCTCCTACCTGTCTTCCATACACCAACAAGAGTCAATAAAGGTAAGTGTGATGTTAAATGTTCATTTATTCATTTTATTAGTGCTTTATATTTATTTTTCATTGTTTTCTGTATGTAAAAATATATTTAATCTTTAAAAAATATTTTTGGTTAATACATTTGAGTGTTTGAAATGGATTAATTGGATTTCCATTATTTCTTATGGGGAAAATGGATTCGCCAGTTGTGAATTTCACCATTCGGCAGGCCCTCTGGAACGAATTAATCACAAAACTCGGGGGTCCACTGTATATACATGTCTTGACCACACCTGTGGTTACATACCTGGAATTTACCTGGAGAGAGTTCCGGGGGTCAACGCCCCCGCGGCCCGGTCTGTGACCAGGCCTCCTGGTGAATCAGAGCCTGATCAACCAGGCTGTTGCTGCTGGCTGCACGCAAACCAACGTACGAGCCACAGCCCGGCTGGTCAGGAACCGACTTTAGGCGCTTGTCCAGTGCCAGCTTGAAGACTGCCAGGGGTCTGTTGGTAATCCCCCTTATGTATGCTGGGAGGCAGTTGAACAGTCTCGGGCCCCTGACACTTATTGTATGGTCTCTTAACGTGCCAGTGACACCCCTGCTTTTCATTGGGGGGATGTTGCATCGTCTGCCAAGTCTTTTGCTTTCGTAGTGAGTGATTTTCGTGTGCAAGTTCGGTACTAGTCCTTCTAGGATTTTCCAGGTGTATATAATCACGTATCTCTCCCGCCTGCGTTCCAGGGAATACAGGTTTAGGAACCTCAAGCGCGCCCAGTAATTGAGGTGTTTTATCTCCGTTATGCGCGCCGCTAATCATAGATAAACACAAGTTAGGTGTGGGGTTTTTGACTGGGAAGATACTAGAGTGGGAGAGTAAATGGCAGATGCTTTCTGCCGCTGCTGGCATCGCCATCACTTGCCATATTATGGCCTATTTTATTCATTTTAGAGTATATATACAGTAGACCCCCTGGTTATCGGCCAGTTTAGTTATCGGCCAACTCTGTTATCGGCGGGTTTTTCGCCCGGTTATCGGCCGTTTTGGACATGTCCATCTGCCGGCTGGGACAGCTTGCACTTCAGTTTGGCTTTGCCTCATAGTGACCGAGGAAACTTCTGCTCATACGTCCAAACATTTCACTTGTTTGACATTGTTTTTAGTGGATTTTCTTGCAGTGCAACTGTGAAATAAGTAAAGATGGCTCCAAAGAAAGTTCCTAGTAAAGTTCCTGTGATAAAGAAAGTGAGAAACACCATGAAATTTAAGTGTGAAATGATAGAAAAGTTTGAGAGTGGTATGAAGGTGGTGGCACTTGCCAGGATGTACAGCAAGAATAAATCAACAATTACATCCATCCTTGCAAAAAAGAACAAATCAAAGATGCTAATGTTGCAAAAGTAGCAACTTTTCTAACAAAGTCCACCAATAATGGAAGAGATGGAAAAGTTATTATTGTGGGTTAAGGAAAAAGAATTAGTGGGAGACAATGTTGTGGAGTCAATCATTTGTGAGAAGGCAAAGCAGTTGCATGAGGATCTTGCAAAGAAAATGCCTGGAACAAGTGCTGAGTTTGTGAATTTAGGGCCAGCAAAGGATGGTTTGATAGATTTAAGAAGGGTAGTGGCATACATAGTGTTGTAAGGCATGGTGAGGCTGCAAGTTCTGGCAAATGTACAGCTGAAAAATATGTTCACAAATTCCAGGACTATGTAAAGGCTGAAGGATTCGAACCCCACCAAGTGTTCAGTTGTGACGAAACAGGCCCATTTTGGAAGAAAATGCCAAACAGGACCTGCATTACCCAGGAGAAAAAGGCAATGCCAGGACACAAGCCTATGAAAGACAGGCTTACTCTTTTGTTGTGTGGTAATGCTAGTGGGGATTTCAAAGTGAAGCCTTTACTAGTGTATCACTCAGAAAATCCAAGAGTATTCAAGAAAAACGATGTCACATGTTTAGTGACAAAACCCTGTCCCACTTCAGGGAAATCTTAGAGACGCCAGAAACAGAGCACTCTGGACAGTTATTTTGTGATTCAAGCTGGTCCAAGTGGCAATAAAAGAGAGAGAAGGGAAGTAACCCCAGAGAAGGCTTTGTTACCTAAAGTCTTTATGGAGGGGGATTTCCCTTCCAAACACTAACTCCTCCCTCTTTCCTCCTCCCTATCTTCCAGAAGCCAGCATTAGCCTTCAATAAAGGTATGTATTATTATTATAATCAAAAAAGAAACGCTAAGCCACAAGGGCTATACAGCGCTGCAGGGTAGGGAAGGAAGCAAGGGAATTGGATGGCAGAAGGGAGGGGGGATGATCAGCAGGTTACAGAAAACAGCAGGGCAGGGGATAGTACGGGGGTAGAGGGTAGCAAGAGATTGAAGTAGAAAGGGCTGAAAGTATCAGAATTTGTGAAGTAAGTCAGTCGTTGTCAAAAAGTCAATGAGAGAGTCTGGATGAAAGGTGGGTCCATCAGCGAGAAGGGAAGGTAAAGAGAGAGCAGCGGGGCGAAGACGACGACAGAGGTAAATTCTGCGTGCTCGTTGATAAAGTGGGCAGTCCAACAGAATGTGGCTGACTGATAATGGAGCTTGGCAATTCTCAGAGAGGAGCAA